CTGACGGTCTTTCATTTTCCGTGCTCTCATAGCTTTTTCCATTAGCTTTAGATCTTTGAGCATGTTTGTTTCATGAGTCGGAATACAAAGAGATTTAATAAGTGATTTAGTTTCTGCACTACTGTAGTTGATCAACGACAAATTGTGGTCTCGGAATTTCAGCTTCCTAACTTCGATATTTTTGTTAGCGGGTTTTCGGACAGGCAGTTGGGCACTGAAGTGATCTCGCCGTTGTACGTTTTTGATTCGTACAAAACTGCATAAAAACTGTGGGCGCGCCTGTATCTCCCATGATACTGTTAGGGAGCGCCCAGAGCTGTTTTGACTCGTCAGCGCATTTATTGGTTGAAGTACGTGGGGCATTTTCGTATTTGGGAGTCTGGCAAACCATCGGGTGTTTTCGTTTGTAATTGTTTTTTTGTACATACCTGCTCGGTGGCCGTTTTGTTATCATTCACAGTATTTCTAAGTGCATGTTTCTAATTGCTGCGATATTATTGTTGGCATTTTGTTGATTTCGTTTTTTAAGTGTGTTTAATGGCCACTGGAATGTGATTGATGAGCAAAACAATTTATTGGTTTGTGCAGTTCAGCAGCATGTGTATCCGGCGTTCACCGGCTACATTCCAAAATGGCATCTGGCAGCTTCTTTGTTCGCTCCGAGTGATGTCGGTCAGTTCGCTGGCGGCCTCACGTTCGTTTCTTCTGAATGGATTACAACCAGTTCAGCGTTTTACTGGCCGAAGCACTTCACTGAGCCACAGTCACCGTTCGTGTTGCGAACCACAACCTGCCACTCCTGCACCGTGGTTAGGTCCCTTGTCGAGTAGAAGTAAACGACGCTTTCATCATGTTCAACTGGTATAACGTGTAATAACAAAAAATACTGTTTTAATTTTGCAACAACACAGACAAAGAACAACAAGCCCAGGGAATTTTGCAAGAAAAGTCATGGCGGGGTCCGAAGGGAATGGGGCGTCCTTGTGGGAAGACGAGGATTGAGGACGTGTAGTAAGAGGCTGAAAACATAAACTGATAAAATATTGCATGCCAAAATTTGAAACAAGAGTGATCGCCATACAGTTTAGTCGATGAATTAATTCTATGCTTCGCATGCGGCGATTGCTTCGTTACGCTCTGTTTCCAGCTCCTGCAAAGATCACAATAATAACCTGGGGTGGCGGCGCATTGGGCGTACCGGCGCGATCATGCGTTTTTGCGCTAACCTTGGAGCGTTCAGACCCTCAACAGCGAGGATAATTGCTGCTTTAACATGTGGATTAGTGCTGGCAGTATTCTGGCCTTGCGTGCAGAAAGGAGGAGGGGCGAGGGGGAATAGACATCTGATGGGTGCTGCACCATGGGCCTCGTAAATCTTAACCTCTAACACGCGTGGCTACTGTGGATGTTGCTTAGTGACGGTCGTTCATTGAAAATGCAAACTGAACATTGGGCAGGATGTTGAAAGAAGCATGACGAAATCCGCAATTGAAGTTGCGATGAAATCGAATATTTGTCATGTCCGTATACAAAAAGTTTAGCCCCCAAATGAATTTAAAAAACACGTGAACACAGAATACCCTCGCAAAGTTACAATTTCGCAGATTGTCCGATTCGCGAAATCGCCACTTCGCTACAAATATCTTTCATATATCCCATGGTATATAAGATTTCTCAATTGGATGATAAATGCAGTGAAAAAATTACAGTTATTGTTTTCCAGCTAATCTTTAAGTTGATACGTACCAGATGTGAGCTTCGATTTGACTGTACGTGTGATGCAAGCGTGCGCAGCAGCTGAATTTTAAATATTTAGCTCGTCCACGAACAAAAAAATACCCTTACAGCTCAGCTTCTTATGTTTACCGGTTCCCCACGTTACCTGTCAAAAAATTCACTTTTTTTTCGGGCATCAGTGCATGAGATTTAGATGCGCATGAGGATCAATTTTAAAACGGGAAGGTGACAAATGAGAAGACAACATGTTTCTACGATTTCAGTCTCTCAGCTTTGCTGACTGTTGGGTTGAAAGTGTGTGGTAAAGTTCATCCACCTCCCACATGAGCAACTTTTCGACAATATGCGTTTTGCACTTGCAAAAAAGGTGTCGAAAGGAGGAAGGACCAGACAATTTTTCATATTCACGGTACTCTTCCGCGTTGGAAACTCGCAGTACAGGTGTACCAACTAGGCTAACATTTCTTTTGTCTGATGGACGCACTGTTTATTAAGCAGAACCAACTTTTTGGGTGATGGCAATGTTCTTCTTTGCAAAGTCATCCAGGGCAAGTCCCTGGACAATTTTCCATTTGCCATTTTCGACAGTAACTGGGAACGAGAAGAACAGTCCTTCCGGAACACCATAAGAGCCGTCAGAAGCTACTGCCATCGAGACCCACTCGTTCTAAAAATACACTCAATTTTGCAGTTGCGGTAGTATTCAGAAACTATCTTTTGGTACAGGCATGGCATGAAAACACTTTACGCGGGCGGAGCACCGTGAACACGAAAACTTGAGAAGTTGTCTAATGACGTAAGTACATTTGTTATATGCACACGGATTCACAATTCCCCCTGCCTCGCGGATAATTCCAATTTGTTGGTGGCGTGAGAGTCAGAAAATGAGGGTGTTTTTGGGCAATTCACATGCTTTCATCTTTCAGGCCGTGCATGATCCGAGACGTGGGACTTGTCAAGCATCTCTGGACTGATTGGTGAAATACAACAATTGGCCTGATGGTCTTAAAATTCTGTCGTAGACCGTAAGAGCTGGATGCTGTGCCTAATCACTGACAGTTAAAGAAAGCAAAACAAACCAAACAGTGCGGGCATACTTTGCGTGTAAGAGGAGTCCGAGAGGGCTCTTGTGAAATATGAAGTGTTTCGCACAGTGGATGTGTGTGGATCTGCATGCTACCATCTGCAGTGCTGTGGACCCTGCGGCTCCCACTCTTTTCAGAGTTCGGTACTTAACGGAGCAAATTCCTGGAGTGCGGCACTCAGTGTAAAGAGCCACACTTCACTCGATGATGGAAAAACCACTTAGGAAGCTACCATTCTTTGATCAGCTGTTGTTTTCCCCATCATTTTCTTTGCAATAATCAAAGTAAACCAGTGTTTTGCATTTCACATTATTGAAAGGAGAGGGGAGGGGGGAATGAAATATCACATTCCGCAGAAACTCCAAAAAATACCTGCACCGTTTGCGAATGAAATTGCAAATTTACCAAAGCGCAGCAAGATGTCGACTCAATAAATTTTTTGCGAAACTTTGTCAAACCCCCAAGCGTAACGTTTGCGAAACTATTTTTTCACCTATAGCGACAAATGCAAGATGAAGCGTTACAAATTCTGTTATTCAGCTTAGTCCAAAACTGATAATGTTTCAAAAAATACACTTGGCTATCGGTGATATTTCTAGCTTAATACGTAGGTCAACCGATAAATCGAAATATATCAAAGATGTTAATTTTTTGCCCTCTAATTCCAGTCCAAAAATATTCCCGGCTAGCTATGCCATACCATCTGCATATTCTGAGTTCATCTAATTATTAAAGTTCTAGGATAAAATCTTCACATGCATCGAGCAAACCATGGGGCATTTGATTTGAACAAGGACATCTTAAACACGGAAGATGGGCGACCGCCGGACACTTAATGCGCAGCTGAAGCGGATTTTGCATGAATCGATGAGGCTTACCGGTTTGGTGCCAGTATGCCAGTCATGCACGTGATCACACGCAGCTTTTGCGGCTGACAGTGCCGAAGAGAGCTTGCGCTTCTCAATTATCACTGCTCCCCTTTTCTGCACTGTCTGCAAAAAGCTAATATTTCAAAAAAAGTAAACTTTTCTCTTGTAAATGTGAAAGTGCAAGTGAATCATTTTGGGCAGTGCCATCAGAATGCAGGGCGCTCGAGTCGTTATCGTAAAAGCATTTTTCGATAAAAGGAAATTTGAAATTGTTCATTTTTGCAGTTTTGAAGATTCACAGCTCGTCAAAAAGAAAGCGAGGAAGTATTTCTAAATTACACTTAGCTTAGCTGCAATTCACGATCTGGTTCTTTAGCTATGCAGCTGGTAGCATTTTCGCCTAATCAGCATATCGGCGATCCTGATGTTCATTCTGCTTACTGAAGGGGTTACCAGTTCAACACTTCTTTAGGTATGACTTTAGCGTTTCGGGATAACTCGGACTCACAGAACAAAAAGTGTTCTTCAGCCAATCCAGGTCATCAACCGCAGAAACAGCATTGACTGCCATTCCGTTCTTGGTAACGACGGCGTGATTTGCATCCGGGAACTGCGTGTTCGAGTGATTCCCCCAAATGATTACATTTTTCACATCTTTCGCCTACAAAACGACAAGCTCCTTACCAGCAAAGTGCCCAGAGAAAATACAGTGAGAAGTTCGATTTAAATTATGAACAATTTCGAGGAAATTGACGACCAAACATTTCTTACAAATTGCGCAAAAAGCAAGAAAAGAGAAATCAGACCGGGACACCACACTTCAGGGCAATTTGAGCGATAGCACGATTGTGGTCGAGGCGAGTCATTGACGTGAAATTGCTCACTGGGATGTGTGGCGTAGCGTAGCGAGCACAGACGAATGCATTGGTATTCGCCGGATTGCCAATCACAACAACCTGCTCAGCGAAATAACAAATGAGCAAGTGCATACTTCAAAGATAACGTTTATGGGTTTCCAGGCATCAGGACCTGGCAAATGAGTGAGCACACACTGAAAATCTAGAAATCTCCCTGGAAGTACTAAAGCGCTTACACTGTAAAAATCATCTACGGTTTTTTTGGGGGAAAAATGCTACTTTGAAAGATACGGAGAGATAAGTTGCTGACAAAAGCACCTTTGTTGTCGGTTTTGCATATTTTGCCAGCGCAGTTCCTTGAGATTTAAAGATTTTCACATTAGTAGCAAGAAGATCCCTGCGCTCCATGCCTTTTTTCCGAGGCATTGCACCCACCAGAAAAGCATAATCAATGCCCGCGAAAGCTTCTTTTTCATCTGTCGTGGCGACCACTTCTGAAAAGCGCTGCATTTTAAGCCTAGCAGGTGCTTTCCCCCATTTATAAATACAGTCTCGGAGAAGGTGGCATCTGCTCGGCTCATATTTAGTTCATTGAGAAATTCAGCACAGTTTCCTTGCGTTAAAAGAAGCCGGGAAATGCGCAGGGAGTGAAACTGAATAAAAATTAGGCGAAAACCGGCATACCGTGTACAGTTGGTAGGGCGCAGTCCTGGATCTCATACACAATACCTTGCAAAGACTCTTTGGTGTGCGGGAGATCGAGGAGAACCAGCGACAAAGGCTAAATGAAAACACAGTAAAAAGCGCTGCGCTTCAACAGAAACTGAGTAGGAAAGAAACATTAACCTCATCCACAAACGTGGGAAATTCGTTTTATCAA